ATGTATGAACGGCGAGGGAAGTGGTTGACTCAACTGGTTACTTGAGGACGGCAAGCATAGTCTAATGACAGCTTAGAAATGCTCGATAAGTATTCACCATAATTTAAAGATAGCTCAAAAAGGATTGTATTGGAAGAAAAAAACGATGTCAAGATATAAAAGCTCAAAAGAGAACATAAGCTTACCTCTACAGACTACTCAAAACAAAAGTGAAAAACCGAAGGGATTCAAACCGGTGTCTTGACAAGAAAAGCTGAGAATGAAATCCTCCTCTTAAAAATTCAATGAGCTCGTTGACTAGAAAAAAAAAGCAAAAACCTGGAAGTCCAGTTGAAGGAATTTTGAGTCAGTGTGAACTCGTTCAAATGCTAAGCTTTCTCAATGAAAACAGCTGAAAACAGGCAAACTTTCAAGCAATTCGTGGGACCGTCGTCTATCAAGTTTACTTTTGCAATTGCTCAATGCAATAACTCCTCGGTTGCTGGAGAAAGAGAAATTGTAATTCTATATTGAGGGACATCCACTTCGAAGAATTAATGTAAACAATCCTACACCGGCCTTGTCGATAGAAGAATCATTGAAAATTTGTGAGTAGACTGTAATAATGTATTTGTGCATGAAAATTAATTAACTGAATCTATGAAATAAGAAGCCATTATTCCCGCATTTTTGCAGACAATTATACTAAAAATATAATAATTTTCGTCATTTTCGTCGGTTTGGTACTAAAAATATAATGGTTTTCGTCTGTTTGGTAGCCATTTTGACGGCTTTCGCACTAATCTCGTCGTCAAAATAACTTACATGTTAAATAAATTCACTTTCACTGTAGTTTTCGTCGTCTCTCATTTTGCAAATAAAAAATTTGCAAACATTTATTTTTTTCGTAAACGAACTAAAAGGATATCTTTGTTTTGCAATGCGTTTCAAATTGTGTGTGTTTTTTTTTTTCGTCTTACTCAAAGTCAAAGCTGGTCTAATTGCGAAAAATAATGACCGCTGTGAGCGGGCATTACAGGAAAATTCCGACYGGTCATTATCTGTCAACAGCCAATCAGAGCGCGCGTACTATCTAAGCCATATAATAATGAGCTTTACAAACCAGGGAGATATTTGCTGGGATTCAACGGAACACAATTAAAGACCTCTAGAACGTTCCACATTTTCCTTCTTGATGATATACTTTACAATTATTCGCCGAGGGCGAAGTGATTATCAATCAAAGCAAAAACGTTTTTAGGTCAAACTACCTTTCTTGTAAGGTTTCGTTTGGAAAAAAAAATCAAGGCTTTTAGGTGAATTGTGGGCTACTAATGATGGATAACGGCTTTGTTTTCCCCGCATAGAAATCGCTCAATGGCCGAGCGAATCGAGGTAAGTGTGGCTTTGTTGTAGAAAAGTAGAATTGTAGTAGAAGTAANAAAAGGAATTTTGGCTAAGATTTCATTCAGATTCTTCTTCAGAATTCAAAGGTTTCAAAGGAAAAATAACGGTAGTGAACAAAATGGCTAAATCTAATTCACGTTGTCGCAATTCCAAAAACATCATCAACGAAACAAGGGGAAGCATTTCCAGCCCCAAGTACCCATCAAAATACATTCCAGGTCAGTGTATAATGTGGCGACTCATTGTTCCCAATGGATTTCGCGTCAAACTCACCTTTAAGGCTTTTGAGCTGGAGAATGACAACTACTGCCTCAACGACTACGTCGAAATAAGAGATTGGCAACCCGAGGGTTGGAACGGTGAGTTACTTGGTCGGTTCTGTGGTAGTACCATTCCAGAAAAGCCGATCTTTTCCTTATCCAATGAGATGGCTGTATTGTTCGTGAGTGATTATAACGCACAAATCGTGCACAAAGGCTTCAATGCGCACTTTGAGATGAATGGTGACCATCGCTCCAATACGCTGTCCCATGCAGGTAACTTTTCATATGTATATATCAAATAAGGATAAGTTACTTCTTGCAATATGTTTCTTATTCTTTAAGTGCCTATGGACGCCTGATACAATAATTGCTGATTTGCTGTGAACTCAGATTCTATATATAAAGTAAATATTTGAATGGTGAAATATTCCTGCATGTCAGTGTTGCGTCTTAGAGTTGCGAAGGATTTATCTTACAATCTGCTAAGGATAATGACGTCAATAAGGGAGGCTTCATTAGATATACAAACTTTGAAACAGTGTCTCAAAAATATTTTATGAGTGCCATCTAGGAATATGGTTATTCCCTGTCCTTCCTACGATAAATTTGATATCACGAAACCATTTTTAAGCGACTCCTTCAAAGTTCGTATATCTATGAACGCCTTCTTTGAGGTGTCTTTTTCATCAGCATATTGGAAGATTGAATCTTCATAACCCAAAGGCGCAACACTGAAAGAAGGCATATTCATCATTCAATTACTTACTTTATATAGAATCAGCTTACAGAGAATCAAAAATTATATTGTATCATCAGGCGTCATATAGGCACTTTAACATTTCTTTTATTTTTACCAAGTTTCAGGGGATATTCAAATGATGCCATTCTTCACACATTCTGCTTAAATTACTGATGTTGGTGGTTGTCATCATGAACAAAGTCCTTTAAGATGTTTCAGTGTTCTACGGACTCTAATTGATAGTCATGTTAATTATAGATTAAATATTCAGCAATAATATGCAATGCTTTAAAAATCATTAGTTTAGATAGAAGGAAAACAACTGATGTCATAAATGTATAAGATGAGAAATCACTTCTTTTTTAAATAAACATATAACAAAACAAATATTTAAGTGATTAAAGGCAAGAGATTCTTCTTAGCGAGCCTTCTTAGTTTCTCTAGGGATCTATGTGAAATTTAAATTAACCCAAGATACCATCAAATATATATGACAAACACAAACGCTGCTTCTTTGTACTTCGCGGTGAACGTTGAATGGAGGCGCTTGAACGAACATACAGCATTCTGGGAGGCTACAAAAACTACTTCTACAGCCCCCTTCGAATAATATATATTAGTTACCAGTTTCCTAGATAAATGCGCGCGTTCAAGATGCCGTCGGTGATTCATCCAATGAGCGATTTTGAGCAAGAAAATTTCAGACGCATAATGTCATCTTTACTGACCTTTACTTTCTTTAGGGTATAGCTCTCTTAATGCCCTTGCTTTGCTAAACATTTGTTTTTATTGTTCACAGACTTTATCAATTATTCATCCACAATCTCTCGCTGACCTCACTCGTAAGCGGCTCTCCTATAGCGTGTTGAAAAGTTATTGGGCCAAAAATAGTAAAAGTGTCCACCCACCACGTGATGTAATGTTTTGTATGAATTCGAGAACAAAGTAGATTGTTGTTTTATCCAACCATCATTTACAGTGCAAACTGGATAAAATTGAAAGGTGACTACAAGACGAACTTCTTTCATGTCACGTAGAAAATTTAAACATTTTCATCCCTAAATCATTTCCAATCGTTTATATGCGATAGATGGTACAACAAATAAGTGGGTACCAGTCTCTCGCCTGCTTGGGTCTCCTGTGTGTTTAGTCAACGATGCAATAATAGTCTAATAGTTAACCCAAAAGAGAAATATTACCTAAGCCTAGGAAAATGAGACAATAACAATTTCTCTATAAGAAACATAACAACTAACAAACAGCAGCAACAGCGCCAAAAGAAAAACGGAAACAACAACGACAAAGCAGAAAAAACAACAACAACAACACTTTAAATAAGTTTTATTTTATTGTATTTTTTTAGAGGGCAACAAGTGGATATGATTTCAGTTAAAAACACAAAAAATAACGAGCGACATTAAATGGAAACGTACTGATACAATTTCTGCGTAGCATTTTGAGATAAATTCTCAAATGTACTCTTTGATATTTGGTTTCAATTTGAGTCCTTCTTAACGGTTAGAGGCCTTTGCAAATGTGATATGAAGAAGACAAAATGTCACAAAATCTCCTTTTSATCCAACATGGTGACATTATTTAATCATCTCTGCAGCTTCTAATACTTCTAATGGGTAGTGTAATGTTATGTACCTATGAATGTTAAGCCCCCGCAGGCCGGGAAGGGGTGGGAATTAGACCAATATTTGACACCCCATAGTGGGGCATTTGCCATGCTATGATGTCCCCAAGGTGGCGATAATTGTCTAAAATGCAGCCCGTGGGTACGGAATACGGGCAAAGTAAATCTAGTGCTTAGGAATTCAAAAAAATGTTCTAATGCATCTGATCGTTGCAAAGTGCTACATATTTCATGATTTCCTCACTTGAATGTAATCCAAGTCTTCTTTTCCTGATAAAAGTAGGAAAGTTTCGTTCTTATACGGCTCAAAACGTCGATATATGCTCTTGGGCTCCCTGTGTGTGACCATGGSGAGTGTTTGAAGAAACCCCACAGATTTCGAAACCGCATTATTGATCGAGCGTGGTCAAGGTTTAATAACAACTCCATTTTTGTACTGTCTGACCCACCAGATGACGAGTTAGTCATCGATGATGATGAACATGAATTATCATGGATTCAATGTGATTGTTGTGGTGCTTCGTACTTAAGAGTCGCATACTTGGCTGTATTAAACACAGATCGATAGTCTTTCATGTTCTTCGCTTAAAATACTTCCTATCCTCTGTTTNTCTGGACAAATCTTTATGTTGGTATCGTCATCCTTGGCAACCAGTTTTTGACACAGGTTTTCAAAACAGCAAAATATGCTTAATTTTTCATTTTTTAAAGCTTACTTATTGTTTTACTATGCATTTTTACCTATTTGTGCTTGTCCTCATTGCTGACTCTTCAATACCATATTAATTTCTTGACAATAAGTTTTTTTCTGGGTGATGGGTGGTTAGTTTTCAGTCATTTTTTTCATATGGAAGAAACTTTCATTAAAATCATCAGTAACACTTCCAAACTCCCTTTATTGTTCATTAAATGTTAGTTTGAGAAGTATATCATACATTTCTCTCAATGCTTAGTTTTCTTTAATGGCATTTAAAAAATTCAAGATGGCGGTCCAAGATAGCGGATCCTAAGATGATGGATATTCTTGCCAAAATTGCTTGTTTTAAATTTTTTAACTACAAAGACTCTACAAATTGTAAAGTTTACCATAAAATAACGATGAAGCCAAAAAAAAAGTGAGATTTAGAGTTAAATTATTCAAAGACGACAAAGACACTATAGGAAATGAAGTCATCACAATTATGACTTCACACTTGTTACCATGGATACAAAACGAACCATAACACAACAGGAGAGCAGTAACACCTAAATATGATATTTAACTGGTTATCTAGATCTAGATATATCATTTATAAAAATTACAATGCAAAGTAGGGTTTTCTCATTGACGTATTTTGATGCACTGCAAAATCTTTCGCACTAGTGTAAACGGGGCTCACCAAAGAAACTACGAATATACAAACTTTATCGATAAAACAATTTACGCTGAATATTAATATTACGGATTCACTACTAGATTTGTATCAACAAGAACCCCGAGTTCACGCAGATATGCGTCTAGTTCCAAATTGTACTAAAGGTGTGATTTCCATACTAAATTGTACGTATCTGTATATTTTAGACTCAATCTTGGTGATTTATGCAGCCCGCTGATCAGTTTTCTTTGATATCTTTAGGACCAAGACGCCTCTTTGGATATCAAACTTGTAATACTCGGCCAGTTGTATTAAGGAGGAAATGACAGATGTTTGTTTTTGTTTCAAGCTGCCCTTTCACTCACCTGCCGTTAGTTCATAACTAGACGATCATAGATTGTTACGTGGGTTTCCTGCAGCTCGGTTGGAATGAGAACTCAAAAAATTGGAGAGTATTGGGACTAGTTGAACCATTTCCGGTCAATTTTTTTTAACAATTGTACATACTCATATAGACTGACTTAAGTTCGTATCCATACAGCTATTTCAAAAAACGTTGTCGGGGAGAACGGCAAACGGCGATTGTCGAAGGGAGATTGCACGACCGAAAGGCACTATGGTTACACTGCTTTTATAAACAAAATCTCACTTATTGGATTCGCCTTACAAAGAAATGGAGACTAAAAGGAGACAATGCTTACCACAGACTATCTTACAGTACAAATCAGTTGTTATTGCCTTTCAATTAGCAAAACCCATGGCTACTTTCGGTCGTGCAATCGCCGTTCGACCATTAGCATTTACCTTTTTTGAAATAGCTATATACAATAACACGATGAACTTGTGAAGACGTTTTTAAGTACACGATGCAACGCACATCTCAGGTTTCTGTTCTTCTTAAAGAAACGACGTAATATCTTAACTGGTATTTTGGTTGTTTCTTGGTCGCGTTTATTAGCATGGCACACACACAACGCTGTACATCTTTTAGTGTGTACCTACCACGAACGACGTGCTAAAGTTATTTTTCCTTGTCAGCTTCCTCAGTGGTCACAGACCAGGTCACAAATTGAAATCGGAGATATCGTAATAGAGTGACGTCGGAGATATCGTGACACGAGGACGACTGATAGAAACAATAATAAATAAATAATAATTTATTGAT